ACTGAGGGGTGTCGGAAGAGCGGTGGGTAGGGCAGGCCATGAGGGCTAGAGGGGCTCCAGGATGAAGACGAGGAGGCCCCAGGAGGGCTGGGTCGGGGAGTCGGGAGCTCAGCTGGGCAAAACCTCCTGCGGCCCTGGCCCTGGGGCAAAGTCCCGCGGTTCAGTGCTGGATCTTCGCCTCCAGGAACACAGCCTCACACGGCGCCTCCACGAGGCAACACGACCTGCCAGGAGGCCCCCAGGGCTGCGGTGCCCGCCTCCCGCCCCCAGGTGCTCCTTGAGCCTCGGGCCATTTTCCTTGGGTCACCTGTCACGGTCACATCATCACACTGGTGTCCACATGGCCTCCAAGCTCCAGGCCATGTCCCGGCCGCCTGTCTGACAGCCTGCTTGGAGACCTGGGGGATGCCCGCCGGGACCCCGCCGACCCCCCTCCCTCTGCTCCTGGCCAGAGCCTCTCGGTCCTCCTCCCGTCTCCCACCCTCATCCAGACCCGCTGGCCGGCACTTTATTCCTTCCCTCGGTCCAAGCCACCAACCTGCTTTGGGGTGATGGGTCCAGCCTCCCCCTGGCATCCCCTCTCCATCCCTGAAGCAAATATCTGCGGAGCACTTGTAGAAACAGCGAATGAAACATCAGCCCCCCAACCCAGAGACGGACATGTCCGTGGGAGGAGGCAGAGGAAACCGACCTCAGGAGCACAGAGAGTGAGCGATGCCCGGCTCGCGGAGTGCCGGAGGCGCTGCGGCTCGCAGGGCTGAGAGCACTCTGCCGTTGTCAACGGGGGCCAAGCACCCCCAGCTGACCCTCAGCACGGCAGGAGGAGCCGCGTGGAGAACACCTGGCCCACTGCCCTCTCCTGGCCCAGACTGCACCCTGACCTCAGCCTCTTTCCGATGACACCGTTGTCAGCTCCAGGCCGTGTGGTCCTGCTGTGTGTCCACCGCCGAGCCTGGCTCTCGCGTGACCCGGGCCGTGAGTTCATCTCTGCCCTGCCTGGAGATGGAGCCTCAGCCCCAGGGCTTGAGAAGATCCCTCTGAGATCTCTGAGCCTCTCTCAGCCATGAGCCTCGCCCAGTATTAGCAAGAATCCCACCCTGGACAGAATCCTGTCAAGTTTAGCAAGGCTGCCCCCACCCCTGATTCTCCTCTGGGAATTTCCCCTCGGGCCCCTGCCCAGTCCCCCACCCCACCCCCGGGCTGTGAAACTCCAGCTGACCTTGCTGTGTTCTAGCGGAGCATCTGAACATCTCTCCCATCTGGCAATCAAGAATAAAGTCTTCCATCCCTTCTGAACGAGTGTCAAAGGGCACTTCCCTGGAACTCCCATGGTTAAGGACCCTGACGGAGAACCAAGATCCCACGCACCATTGAGCACCTAGCAACTAACACCTAGCACCTAGCACTGCAACTGCGGAGCCCTGCAGCCGAGACCCCGCTCGGCCAAATAAACAGATATTCTTTAAAAAATGTCAAAATATTTTTCTGAAATAAGCCCCACCCTGCCCCAATCCCAGGTGCCTGGGAAAGATAGGGAGCTGGGAGGGGCAGCATCCTGGAGGAGTTTAAAGCTCCTGGCAGGGGTGGGAGTCTGGCGACACAGCCGCCTCAACCTTCCGGGCAGGTCAGTTGCTGCAGGGACTTGGAGGTTGGCTGGGGGCGGGGGGGGGGGGGGGGGGGGCAGTGCTATGCTGACACATTAACTCTCAGAGGCCAGCAGGAGGGTGGATGGTCACTCATTACCGAGGGCCAAGGCCAAGGGGCTGGGTGGTATCCGGTCACTTATGTAACCTGTGGGCATATATACGGGCCCGTGGGCCCGTAGAGCTCTGCCCCTCTCAGGATGAAGGTGGCTGCGGTGAGTACCCCCAGCCCACGCAAACTGCGTGCTCAGGGAAAGCGGGGCAGCCCCGTGCCCATGCCCGGCGGGTTTCTGCCGGCCCACTCTTTGGGGTCAAAGGGCTCCCTCCCGGCCGTGGTCTATCTGGGGCAAAGGTCACGGGCCCAAACGCTGGGCTCCCTGCGGACCCGCGTCCTGAGGAGACTCTGGGTGCGGGTGCTGTGTGGCCGTGGCCAAGCATCACCCTTGGAGCAGACATCCCCAGCATCCGCTCAGCAGATAAGGACTCAGGGCTGGAAGTCTTGACTCAGGCTCACCAAGGCCACACGCCGGTGCCCTGGGGCGCCCACCGCCTCTCTGCTGCTCCACATCCAACAGTCCCGGCCCCCATGGGGTGTCCTCCCTTCCTCATGGAGCTGGCATCCTGGTGAAATGGATTCACCACCACCCCCACCCTACTAGGACCCAGACCCTTCGCTGGTTTCCCAGCCTGATATGGAGCCAGAAGCAGCCAGAGACAAGGACAGCTTCCGAAATTACACGGTGAGGACTGCTCCCCCTCTGGCCCCCGCCTCTCCTGCCCTGTCCCCTTGCACAGCTCCAGGGGCCACCCTGGGGACACCCTGACCACACCTTGAGGCCTGGGAGAGGTAGGCAGTGGCCCCCTGGGTGTGAAGGGCAGGGGGTGGCAAGCTGCCTGGCTGACCCTCCGGTTTGCAGTCCGGCCCGCTCCTGGACCGTGTCTTCGCCACCTACAAGCTTATGCACACGTGGCAGACCGTGGACTTCGTCAGGAGAAAGGTAGGTGGCCAACTCCTAACCCAAGCTCCCAAGGGCTGACCCTGGGACCACACTGACCTTTCCCTTCTGGTCCAGCATGCCCAGTTTGGGGGCTTCTCCTATAAGAGGATGACTGTCATGGAGGCTGTGGACATGCTAGACGGACTGGTGGACGAGTCGGACCCCGACGTGGACTTCCCCAACTCCTTCCATGCCTTCCAGACAGCCGAGGGCATCCGGAAGGCCCATCCGGACAAGGGTGTGCTCCCCACTTGCTCTGACGGGTGCTGGGGAAGGGGGGAGTGGTCTGGCCCTCTCCCAGTAGGCCCTGCATCCCCCCCACAGCCCCAGGACTGTGCCTCTGCCCCAGCCCCTGCACCCTCCTAGCCTGCACTGTCCCTCCCTCTCCTCCAGACTGGTTCCACCTCGTTGGGCTCCTGCATGACCTGGGGAAGGTCCTGGCTCTGGCAGGGGAGCCCCAGGTGAGGAGAGGGGTGGAGGGCAGTCAGCAGGACAGGGCCCGGGGCAGCCTCCGCTCCAGGCTCTGGACACCCACTTGGGGGGCAGGCCAGTCATGCCCACCCACGGCTGCCCGTCGGTCCGTCCCCAGTGGGCAGTGGTAGGAGACACCTTCCCGGTTGGCTGCCGTCCCCAGGCCTCTGTGGTCTTCCGTGACTGCACCTTCCAGGACAACCCTGACCTCCAGGACCCCCTGTACAGGTGTGGCTCCCTTGCCCTCCCTCGCCGTGGTCCTCCCCCCTCCTCCCCCTTCCAGGGGTCCTGCTCCTGAGCCCCTCACCTTCCGTCCCCCTCTGCAGCACGGAGCTTGGCATGTACCAGCCTCACTGTGGGCTCGAGAACGTCCTCATGTCCTGGGGCCATGATGGTGAGGCCGGTCGGTTGGGGGGACGGCGGGGACCACTCGGGCTGCCCCTCTGGGTGCCCGCCCAGAGGTGGTGACCCGCCCTCTCCCACAGAGTACATGTACCGGATGATGAAGTTCAACAAATTCGCCCTCCCACCGGAGGTAGGAGGGGGTGGGGACCGAGCCAAGGTCAAGCCCCGCCCGCCGCCCCGCCCCGCCCGCCGCCCCGCCCCGCCCCGCCCCGCCCCGCCCCGCCCCGCCCGCCGCCCCTGGCCGGAGCCTGAGGCCTGGCTGCCCGCAGGCCTTCTACATCATCCGGTTCCACTCCTTCTACCCCTGGCACAAGTTCGGCGACTACCGGCAGCTGTGCAACGAGCAGGACCTGGCCATGCTGCCCTGGGTGCAGGAGTTCAAGTACGGCCGCGGCCACGGGCGCGCCGGGGGGGTGGGGTGGCTCGGGGGGCTTCACGGGCCGCCGTCCCTGTGCCGCAGCAAGTTCGACCTCTACACCAAGAGCTCCAGCCTGCCGGACGTAGCCGCGCTGCGGCCCTACTACCAGGCGCTCGTTGACAAGTACTGTCCTGGCGCCCTGCGCTGGTGACGGCCCGCCACCCCCTCACCCGCCGGGCGCCCCGGGCGCAGCCGCCGTCAGGAACAGCGTCGGCCGCCGCAGCCCTTCCCGGGGGACCGCACGGGCCCACCTGCACTCCCTGCCGGTTGGCAATAAAGACCCCGAAACGGCTTGCGACTCTGACCTGCGTCTTGTGGCGGGACTCTCACTGGGGTACCCGTCTGGGGGTGGGGGACCCCTGCTCTGGGCTCAGTCTCCCTAAAGAAAACAAACAACAACATCTGCTGGCCGGAACACACGACAGGAAGCACCGTGGTAAACACACAGACTGACTGCGACGAACACGACCCATGAGGACGCCCCCAGACGCAGCCCTCTCCTTGGCCAAGTGCGCCCCCTCACGCGGCGGCGCTGCGGAAAGCTGCTCATTTGTCTGGGGACTTCCTGTCAGGATTTTGCTGATTACACCCTCTTGGCATCTTTTCATGTTCTCCTCAGTATTTCTTGCTAACTGATAACTGAGCGCAGAGGCTGAATCAGATTCAAGTTTGACTTAGGGGCCAGAGTGCTCCAGTGGTGGGGGCTCTCGGAGAACACCGCCGTCCTCAGCGCGGTCAGCTGGCCGCGTGGTGGTCTCGGGTCTGAGAACGCCCTCCACTGGAGGGAGAGAGACTTACCTGGCGACCAGCCAGCTCCCCGCCCCGCCCCCCCGTTTGGTCACTGTCTGTGCAGGAAGGGGAAGTGCGTGCTCCCACTACTCTCTTAGTTTAATCAGTTGGTAAGAACTGGTTCCGAAGCACCCTTCGAACACAATCAAGTTGTCTGTTGTGTATCAAGGACACACACATTCAGCGGATTTGTGCTTCCATGAGTTGTCATCCTTCCCGGTGCTCAGACAAGGCTGGGGAGGGGCTTTGTGGTGGGCTCCTGGGTCCTCCGGACAGTCAAAATTGGTCTCTGGGATGGGATGTCTTGCCATCTGGTGTAACAGGATGCCCAGACTCTGTTAATTTCCTGTGTATGCTGTAACAAACTACCATAAACTTGGTGACTTGTTGAAAACAACAGAAATTTATTCTCTCAAGCACTGGAAGGCAGAAGTCTGAGATCATGGTGTCAGCAGTGCCTCCTCCAGGGCGTCCATTCCCAGGTGGCAGCCAGCACCCCCGGCTCGTGGCTGGTGGAACCTTCTCTGCCTTCACACTGCTGCCTCTCTGTGTCCCACTCCGTCCCTCTCTATAAAGGCACTTGTGACGGCACTCAGTGCCCACCCAGATGATCCAGGGAGACCTCCTCATCTCACAGTCCGTGATTATATCCACAAGGTGCTTTTTCCAAGTGAGGCTATGCTCACACATTTCAGAGGTCGGATGTAGAGAACTTTGCGGGCCATTTCCAGCTCACCGCAGGGGCTGATGTGGATATGGAACTGGTCCTTTCTCCAAGGAACTTTGGGAGTGGGAAGTGGTATTTCAAATGCACGTGCTGGGGGCTGAAGACCCAATCATTTCTTGAATGTCCACGGGTTGTGACTGTGGAGGTGGCACTGCCCACTGCCTCCCTGCCCTTCTGCCCAGTGAGACCCTCTTGTCCTGCTCAGACCCCTCCTGAGCACCCAGCCCTGCGGTGCCCTGGCAGCAGGAGGGGTCAAGTGTGACCAGAGGCTTTGCCTGGGACTTCCCTGGGTGCCCGGTGGTTGCAGGAGATGGGGTTTGGATCCCTGGTTGGGGACCACATGCCGCAGAGCAACTAAACTGGTACACTCTGGAGCCTGTGAGCTGAGCTGCAACTATAGAGTCCATGTGCCTTAATTAAAGATCAAGGCATGATTCAAAGAAAATCCTGCATGCAGCCAAATAAATAGTAAAATGCATTTATGCACATACACATACATTTTTTTCATTTATTTTTATTAGTTGGAGGCTAATTACTTTACAATATTGTAGTGGATTTTGCCATACATTGACATGAATCAGCCATGGATTTACATGTGCTCCCCATCCCGATCCCCCCTCCCGCCTCCCTCCCCATCCCATCCCTCTGGGTCTTCCCAGTGCACCAGCCCTGAGCACTTGTCTCAAGCATCCAACCTGGGCTGGTGATCTGTTTCACCCTTGATAGTATACTTGTTTCAATGCTGATCTCTCTGAACATCCCACCCTCGCCTTCTCCTGCAGAGTCCCAAAGTCTGTTCTGTACATCTGTGTCTCTTTTTCTGTTTTGCATATAGGGTTATCGTTACCATATTTTAAAATTCCATATATATGTGTTAGTATACTGTATTGGTCTTTATCTTTCTGGCTTACTTCACTCTGTATAATGGGCTGCAGTTTCATCCATCTCATTAGAACTGATTCAAATGAATTATTTTTAATGGCTGAGTAATATTCCATGGTGTATATGTACCACAGCGTCCTTATCCATTCGTCTGCTGATGGGCATCTAGCTTGCTTCCATGTCCCGGCTATTATAAACAGTGCTGCGATGAACACTGGGGTGCACGTGTCTCTTTCAGATCTGGTTTCCTCAGTGTGTATGCCCAGAAGTGGGATTGCTGGGTCATATGGCAGTTCTAGTTCCAGTTTTTAAAGGAATCTCCACACTGTTCTCCATAGCGGCTGTACTAGTTTGCATTCCCACCAACAGTGTAAGAGGGTTCCCTTTTCTCCACACCCTCTCCAGCATTTATTGCTTGTAGACTTTTGGATAGCAGCCATCCTGACTGGCGTGTAATGGTACCTCATTGTGGTTTTGATTTGCATTTCTCTGATAATGAGTGATGTTGAGCATCTTTTCATGTGTTTGTTAGCCATCTGTATGTCTTCTTTGGAGAAATGTCTGTTTAGATCTTTGGCCCATTTTACACATACATTTAAAAAGAGGCTCTGCCCAAGCTCTTCCCCACTCACTCCTGGAGCACTCTTGTGCTGCCTCCTCTCCTCCCGGAGCACGCCTGCTTGCTCTGGGCCCCCTTGCCCCATCGTCAGGCCCCCTTGCCAGCTGCGCCCCCACCCCCAGACTCTGAACTCAGGCAGGGCAGGTGCAGGGCGCCGAGGGGGTCCTTTCCCTAGAGCGGCTTGTGAGGTGCAGGGCCTCTGGAGGGGCAGGCCAAGGGCTCTGAGCCTGGACTGCATGGGTCGACGGGGCCTCTCTGCCTTCCTGAGAGTGGAGAGGAGGCAGGTCTCCGAGGAGGCTGGGGTTGGGCTAGACTGACTGTCTCTCTGTGCTCAAAGTCATCACCCAAGGGGTGCCTCCACAGTGAACGGCAGGAGTGGCCACCTTTGCCTCTGACCCCAGGTCCCCACGCCTCTCTGTGGCCCTGCAGCCTGTAACCTGGCCGTCTCCAAACAGGCCCCAGGGTTGGGAAGAGGGCCAGGGATTTCATGTTCCAGTCTACTCGGCATTGCTGGTCTTGCTGGGGGCCTCAGGGCACTGGGCAGCTGAGGAGCCCGCAGAGGCAAGGCTTGGCTTTGCCTCCAGATCGCACTGGCCAGGCGCCTCTGCCCGTGGGCCTCTCCAGGCAAGAACACAGGAATGGGCTACCATTTCCTCCTCCAGGGGGTCTTCCCGACCCAGGGATTGAACCCAAGTCTTCTGCATTCTCCTCCTGCATTGCAGGCAGATTATTTACTGCTGAGCCATTGAACTTCCCTTTAAACGAGCCGGTTTCTTCTAAGAGTGGTTGCAAGCAAGAGTCTTAGAGGAATCTAGAATTTGTTATCGGGCCTGTTTGGGGTTGAAAGTTGGGAACGCCTGCTGGTAATGGAAACCTGGTGGTTCCTGGCCTACAGGAGCAGGGCAGATAATCACAGCCTTAGTTCCTCTGGCCAGCCCTCGGGGATGGTGAGCAGGTGCTAGAGGAAGGCCGCTGCTTCTACAGGCACTGATGACCTAAGACAGGACAGCGATGAGTCCCGCTCCCTGAACCCAGGACCGAGCCTGGGCCGGAAGAGAGCACTCCGTGACTTGCTGAACTCTCTGCGGCGCGCCCAGTCGTGGCCCTAAGGGCATGGTTGGCAGCTGCTCAGCTGCCCTGGAGACTCTGGGCTGTTGGGGACCACGAGGTTACTGCTGCTTTCACCCAGAGAGGTCACTTCCTTAAAAGGTCAGTTTTACTCAAGAAGGTCTTTTTTTTTTTTTTGCCACGCTCCATGTTTTGTGGGATCTTAGTTCTCCGTCCAGGGATCGAACCTGCACCCCCTGCAGTGGAAGCACAAAGTCTTAACCTCTAAGCCCCCATTCAAATAATATTAATAAGTAAATATTTAAAGAATTTCTTAATTTCCAATGGTAAATACTGACAGATACAACACTCATAAACAAAAGCTTTTGGGGGTTCTCAATAGCTTTTAAGAACATGAGACCAGATGACCTGGTGACTTCCACTGGCAGATACCCCAAAGCTGCCTCTGTGGGCTCCTTCAGGTGCAAAGTGAAGGCCCTGCCGTCAGTATGACTGCCCCAGAACCCGCGGCGTGCCCCTCCCCGAGGAGTCGTTGGCCGCCCCCATGGGCACCGTCCGTGATGACAGGAGCCATCAGTCACCACCAGGCCCTTGTGCGCCTGGACTTGCTACCCTGTCCCGCACCTCCTCCGGCACCGTCATCCACTAACTCGCCTGACATAGCCTCTAACCGAGGCCAGAATGCGGAGGCTGGAACCTGCAGGCCCCCAGACGCCCCCACGACCCCAAATCAATCATCTGACGGGACGACAGTACCACCAGTCGGAGACCCAGCTGCAGTGCCGGCTTGGATGGGGGATGTGGTTGCCAAGGAAGCAGGGCTTCTCCCCAGAGGCATGGCAACGCTTCCTCCGAGCCGGGCAAGGCCGGCTGTGCCACAGGGACGGGGTGGCTGGCGCTCGGCTGAGGGGCCAGGAGGGCTTAGAGACTGGCCACGCAGCAGTGCCGAGCAGGAGCTGGCTCCGTGGAAGATGGCAATGCCCTCGCAGATGGGCCGAGGGCTCACAGGCCTTGGCGAGCCTGGGGAGCATGCCATGGAGAGCGTGGGGAGGCCCTACCAGCCTCGCTCATGACTGTAGCAGGAACAAGCACAACCGGTACTTTTCCTTGCTGTTCTGCAGACATCTTTGGGTCACTAAATTCACTGTTCAGTGTGTGAGACGCAGAGTTTTGAGCAGGGACTGTGCTGAGCTCAGGGGTGGGTGTCCAGCTGCAGCCTGGAGGTGATGCGCCTGCAGGAGAGGACCAGATGTGGGTGCCTCCACCTGCTGTGAGCAAGTGGTTCCGAGTGAGATGTACCATGGCTGCCTCGTATCAGGGGGATGTTGTGTGGGTGCAGAGGCAGCGTGAATCAGGAAGATGGATTCATCAGGGGCCAGGGCACCAAGGAGGCGGTGTGGGAGCACCTCCACTGTGAGAAGGGCCTGCCTCTCCAGGAGTCTGGGTGGGGCAGCTCCTCCCCACCCACCTCTCCTTTTGGAAGCCAAGAGGGAGAGAAAAATTGGTGCTTGCCCAGCATCCCTGGGACCCACGTTTCGGCCACACTAGACTCTGCATTTGAAGCTGGAGGTCAGTCTGGGGTCCAGGCACTGGGCGTCCTCACCAGGCCAGGCTACGGCGGGATTTTGCCCTTGACCAATCTTAGTAAGTTTACTGTTGGTACAGGGGCATTCAAGAGAATGACTGGCTCACTGCACTTGTATGTTTAGTCACTTACGGGTGTTTTTGGATCTTGGGAAGATTGTGTTAGGTCAGATGACCGAACAGTTAAAGAACATATTAAATTTGTAAAGCAGTTAAGTATATTAGGCATTTAAAATTTATAAATGGAACCCTTCAGAATGACTGCTAAAACCTGCTGATGTAAATAGAAGAGGGAAAATGAAAATACATGGCTGGGACAGTGTCACTCAGAAAACACAGTTTACCCTCGAACGGCTCAAATCGGAACCGGCCCACTTATATGTGGATTTTAGTTCACTAAATACATGTTACAGCACTACACGACCCTTCATAGGTTGAATCTGTGGAACCTCAGATATGGAGGGCAAACTCTAAGGCTAGACTGCATTTTTGACTGGTTAGGGTCAATGTCTCTAACCTCGGCATTGCTGAAGGGTCAACTGTGCAACCAAACTGATCTACAGATTCCAGGCAATCTTTATGAAAATTCCAATGGCATTCATTTTCAGAAACTAAAAAAAAAAAAAATCTATTCTAAAATCTCAAGGGATCCCAAATAGCCAAAAAATCTTGAAAAAGAAGAATAAAGCTGAAGGACTCATCCTTCCCAATTTCAAAACTCACTATAAAGCTGTAACAATCCAATCAGTGTTAAGTAGTTCCCTGGCAGTCCAATGGTTAAGATTCCCTGTTTCCACTGCCAGGGGCATGGGTTCAATCCCTGGTTGAGGAACTAAAATCCTGCATGTTACTCACTGTGACCAAAAAAAAAAAAAAAAGGGCAAAGGACTTGGATAGACAGTTCTGCAAAGAGGACATACAAATGGCAATAAGCACTTGAAAATATGCTCAACATCATTAGCCACACACACGACTGAGTGACTTCACTTTCACTTTCATTAGCCATTAGTAATAGTGGAAGTGCTAGCTGCTCAGTTGTGTCTGAGGTAGCCTACCAGGCTCCTCTGTCCACGGGATTCTCCAGGCAAGAATACTGGAGCGGGTGCTCGCTTTGGCAGCACATATACTAAAATTGGAACGATACAGAGAAGATTAGCATGGCTCCTGTGCAAGGATGACACGCAAATTCATGAAGCATTCCATATTTTTATGGAAGCAACCTAGATGCCCATCAGCAGACGAATGGATAAGGAC